ACACACACACACACACACTCATACATGTGTGCGCACTGTAATCCCATGCTTGGGCGGTCGCGTTCTAATCAAGACTATTCACTGGCCATAAATCAAATTAAATGGCTGTCACATATCGCCGGGCGCCAGTTCCGCCAGCTGCTCCATTGGCATCCATTGTGCCKGGCTGAGCTGTCAGAGCTGAGCATAATTAAAAGCGAGAAAAAAAGTAACCAAAGTGGTTCGAATGACGAGCTGGTTAAATAGTAAATGGGGATAGACTAAGTGGAAATACGTATTATTAATCAAAAGYTGTGGACGAAATTCTATAGCTCAAACCATAGCTAATTTCCTATTCATGGAAAGAGGCGACAATTGGTTAAAGGATTATTGAAGAATAATCTGGGCAGAGGCTATAGAAGAGAGAACTATTTGATTTCTAAACAAAGTAAGTCGTGGAGAAGGGTAAATAATATAATAAATATGCCATAAGTTGATAGTCGGGGAGAAATCTGTCTTTCTTTTTTCTCTCTCTCTCCTTTTCCATCTCTTCCTATTCCTCCCTCTCTATCTCCACCTGTTTCTGTCCATCTCACTCTATCTATCACTCTTTCTACATACCTCTCTCACCACCTGTCTCTCTCTCTCTCTCTCCATCTCTCTCTATCTCCATCTCTCTCTATCTCTCCATCTCTCGCTCTCCCTCTCTCTCTCTCTCCATCCTTCTTTCTTCATCTTACTCTCTCTCTCTCTCTCTCCCTCTCTCTTTTTTTTGCATTGACGTATAATCTAAAAAAAAGGTTAATAGATGGAGAAAGCTGTGAAAGGCTTACCATATGTATTTTATTCCAAATTAAATTCATATAAATTTATTTTGCTAAGCCCTGTTAGTTTTTTTCAATCTGATCTTACAAGAAACCACTATGCGTTGACAGTACAGGAATTTACTAAACCTCACCAAGCGAACCTCGACCCAAGTAGCATAGCTTCAGCTGAACACTTCCATGATCTATATTTATACAGCCCATTTAGTCTCCCTCCGGCTACAATTCAGTTCTCAACCTTGGTTAAACTTCGCATTGCCGCAGTAACTTCCATTTGCAGTTCACGCCACAATTTGGATAATAAAACTCGTATAGCTAGTTTGTCATACCCAGTTTATTTTTTTTCGTGTTATGCAGCAAAATCGTATATTTAAAATGTCAAACAGCGTCGTGTTGTTAGGCAAACCGAACATGGCATGGTTCCTATGTGAGGGGCGTGTTCTTGTTGTTGGAGCAGTAAATAAGGGAAACACTAATGGGACATCGGACCTGGACGACGGCTAATCTTTCGCATAAAATCCAAATCAGTGAGACCTGCGCTGTAGCCCTCGCCAGTCACCGGATTGCCCGCTGTGTGAAGGAATACACAGATATATATATATATACATATATCAAGACATATAATCAGAATTTAGAACTATCTCACCTCGGCTCTTGGCTATCTTGGGCTTTAGTCCACCGACCCCATCTCCGTTTAGGCCCATGCCAGTTATGGGATTGCGTGAGCACAAATCCTTGTCAAAGTTGTTTACATCAGTTTTCGGCTCCGAGTACTTATCAGCCATATTGTAGCAGCTGCACTTCCAAAAAGTCCTTGAAGTCCGATTGAAAATTATATATATTTACCTTTCAGGAATTTGGAATGAAAGCTCTAACGGCTTCTCTTT